GTTTCGTTTAAACACATTTTAATCAACCTAACTAGTTTCATGGGTATCCCAAACTCTATCAGAATAGTGTACAAAACTTCCCTCCTAACTGGATCATAGGCTTTCTTGAAGTCTATAAACAGCTGATGTACTGTCTCATCGTACTCCAATTTTGTCTCCAATATCTGACGAATGCAAAAGATCTGATCTGTAGTTGATCTGCTATGTCGAAACCCACCCTGATGATCCCCAATACTTTCATCTATATATGGACTTAACCTTGAGAGAAGAATATTGGATAAAATTTTGTATGAAGTTGATAGCGGTGATATCCCCCGATAATTACTACAGTCAGTTCTATGACCCTTCTTGTGAACTGGTACAATAATAGGCTCCTTCCACTGATCAGGCAATTTGTCCTTATGCCAAATAGAAGTAATTAGATTGTGGATCTTAGAACGTAATATTTCGCCTCCTGCTTGAATAAGTTCTGCCGGAATTTGATCACTATCTGGCGATTTATACCGTTTCAATTTTGCAATAGCACTTTCAACCTCAGAAGGGCTAGGATCAGGTATTAACGGCTCAGCTGTATATATTTCTATCTGCCTAACATCACTGAACCTACGTACTTTCAATAACTGAGAGAAGTAGTTCCTCCACCTATTCAAAATGTTGTGGGAATCTGCAAGCAGATCACCATTCTCATCCTTCACTAAGTTACTGCTAGGCTGGTAACCCCTCTTAAAGTCGTTTATTCCTCTATACAAGTCTCTAATGTTCTTGTTCTTACTGTTCATTGCAAACTCATCAATGTTGTCTTTCAGATATTCCCCCTTTTGTTCCTGAAATGCCTGCTGGTTTCGCGTCTTATATTGTTCTAATTATTCTTATTTATTTCGCTTGGATCCTTTAATCACCAATTGTATAAAGGTCCATAAATTCGATCATCAAATCCAAAAACCGTCTTACTGGTCAGGCAAACCCCGGATACGTGATAATATTGTTAGGATGACCACATCAAGAGGGATGAGATGAGTGGGGCACGTAGCACGCATGGGAGGAATTAATACAAATATCTTTTTTCTTTCTCCTTTACTGACAATCAGACTGTACAATCTGTAAGTCAATATGCTGACTGGTGTACAGTTTAGTAACTATTTATTGCACACTCTTGTGGCGTGCGGAATGAACATCCAGCGATGTTTTCCTCAGTTCATTAGATCTGATGGCCAACTTCTTCTGAGTCTTCGATTTTCATGAGGTTGTAGTAGTGGTTGAAGAAGTGGGTTGGAGTGATTTTCTAGTTTGTTGAAGTACTCCGTGCTGTTTTCTCGGATGACTTTCGTTATGTAAGGAGTTTTTAGATCTGTATGTAGGGTGTGGTTGGATACATACGATGGTGCGTTCGTGATGGTTCGGAGTATTTTGCACTGGGCACGCTGTATAATGGCGATGTTGGATTTGCTGGCGCAGCCCCAGAGTTCTATGCCGTATGTACATATAGGCTTGATGACTGTTTTGTAGATTAGTAACTTGTTTTCGATGGAGAGGTGGAATTTTCTTCCTATGAGCCAGTTGAGTTCTTTGGTTTTTTGGTCCATCTGTTTTCTTTTCTTCATTATATGTTGTCTCCAGTTTAGCTTGTTGTCAAAGGTTAAACCCAGGTATTTGACCTGTTCTTTTGGTTGTATGTTGGTGTGATTTATTTGCACTGGGGGGGCACGTGCCTTTTCGGAGGGTGAAAGTTGTTTGTGTGGACTTTGATTCGTTTACCCTGATTTTCCATTTGTTTAGCCACGCTTCTATGAGGATTATATGAACCTGTAGATGAGAGGAGGCTGCGGTTGAACTGCCGTGGGTAGCGAAGTCCCACTGTCGTTTCTTTTGTTGTGGGTAGATCATGTGTGTAGAGAGTTTATAGTAGTGGGCTTAGTAAGCTTCCTTGGGGCGCCCCTGAGTGGATTGGTAGGCGGTTGGATTTTTCCTCATTTATTTTGACTTCGAAAAATCTTTTGCTTAAATATGACTTGAGTAGGTTGTAATAATTTGTTTGGAAGATTCTTTTTATTCTGTAAAGTAAGCCATGATGCTAGACTTTGTCAAAGGCCTGGCTATATCTAGAAATGCTGCTGTGCAGTATTGTTTGTTATTTAGGGCTTTTGTTATGGTATTTGCTATGCGATGGCTTTGTTGGATACAGAGAGCTGATCGGAAAATTAGAAATGAAGTGACTATTCGTAAGGCGCAGGCGTAGATGGGAGAATAGTACAATTTATCTTAGGGCGCGTCCACATTACTCGTGCTCGTGTGACTCGCTATGCTCGCGAGTAATGTGGACGATACTAGAAGTCACGAGACAAACAAATTTTAAATTTTAAATTTAAAAACTATAGCCAATAAATTAAAATACGACTACAGCATATACACACTACGAGTAAATATACGGATCCTCACGCGCCGAAGCCTGGCGAGCAACTGAAGTAGTGTGGACGAAGATTTATGAGCACAAGTAAAAGCCAGACGAGTCTCCCGACGAGCACAAGCCTGGCGGGCACGAGCACGAGTAATGTGGACGCGCCTTTAGAGAAACAGGGGACGTGTCTGAGGTTTTAATTCATTTTGGCTTGTAAGAACGACAACAAGGTCAAGTGACAGGCTGCTACTCTCGCCGTAATGACTTTCGGGTTCCATGAAGGCACGAAAAGAGCTGGGCCGCAGTTACATGACCTGTATATTACACGCGTAAGCACAAACAAAACACTGGGTTTGAACGCTGTGTGGTTCAGAGAACTCTACCGATGTAAGATTTGAGACTTTCACGGCGGTGACTATGAAGAAAGCAGTCTTCTGGGATTTGGCACCGTGTATATGTGGTGTTAACCGACGTTTCGGAGGAAAGCATCGCCTCCATCTTCAGGGTCTCACGGTCTCTCCGCTTGCAGAATTCTTATATTTTTTCTTCTACCCTGAAGATGGAGGCGATACGTTCCTCCGAAACGTCGGTTAACACCACATATACACGGTGCCAAATCCCAGAAGACTGCTTTCTTCAACTCTACCGATGTTTCGGAAGAATTAATCGCCTCTATCTTCTAGGTCGAATAAGCCAAATAAAATGCTTCCTACGTCCTGTTGATTCCTTGTTTGGCTACTCGTCAACCCTGAAAATTGAAGCGATACAGTCCTCCGTATCGCTGGGGGACTTCTACCAAATTTCACGGTGTCATAAGCCAGATCATAATCTTCACTAAAACTACT